AATAGTAAACAGTTTCTCGGGGACTTTCTTGTCCAAATATGATAAAATCAGCACTGCATATACCTCAAATGGTTGTTGTTTTTATCACAATGCGTAAATGTTTGTGAAATCACTCTCAAGGCGTCGAATGCTAATTCTAGTACAATAGACGTAAATAACCAAACTACTGATTTAAACCGACCCCAAATCTCCTAGGAAAATTCTAAATTTTTGCATTTTAGAGAACAGTATATCAAAATTAAGATTTGTGTCGGACAGTTTTCTTAATTTCAAAGTTAAAGTGTTGCTAAGCTTGAAAAATTCGCAAAAAATGTGGATTTTCAACTTTCAAGACCGACAATTCCAGAATGCCGCCATCTTTAAAAAATCCGTCCGACACAGATCTTGATTTTGTCTTGGCTACAATTTAAAACCTTTTTGGGGTAAATTGAATTTGTTTTTGTTGAGGTTGACTGTTTGCACGCATGTCAGTCCGTGTGAGTAAGTGCAGGGGGTAACTTATATCCCCGTAAACAATAATTACGACCTTCAAGGTCACACACGATAACGGCAGTACCTTCGTTACATGCTACATAGCCACTTAAAAATAGGGCATAGATGTACTGTTCCAAAATGGGTTTATATTTGTGAAAAGGTGGATTTTTTACTGTTAGGCGGTACCCATGTAAAAACGGGCTTGAAGCCGCGGGTTTACTGTACATGACCGCGGGTGACCCCGGATCGAACGAACGTTCTGTTCGATTGACGTCATATCGAACATGATTCGGTTCGATTGACGTCATATCGAACATGATTTGGCGCGAAAAAAGGTTGGAATATTTGGGCCCAAATTGGACCATCGTGTAGGGGTGTCTTGCTTTGGTTTCAAGTGGGACATAACCATGTTGGAAATAGGGGGGACAGGCTTACGTTAGGGGTGACTTGCTTTGGTTTCAAGTGGTACATAACCATCTTACGTTAGGGGTGTCTTGCTTTGGTTTTAAGTGGTACATAACTATGTTACGTCAGGGGTGGTATGCTAATAGTATGCTTTGCTTTCAAGTGGTACGTTAGGGGTAGTATGCTTTGCTTTCAAGTGGTACATAACCATGTTTGAAATAGGGGGGGACAGGCTTACGTTAGGGGTGGCTTGCTTTGGTTGATAGGGGGCACACGGACACGGACTTCCATGTGTGACATGCTAGTTGTTTCTATTCAAGGTACCTTTTTTTAAAACGATTTTTTGACACGGAATTTGCAAGGTATGATAAAGGCCCCTACGTAAGGCCCCTGTCGTGCATTCAAAACGTCCCTTTTGAAGGCAGCATAGCAGACCGTAATATTTACCTCAATTTAAGGTACCTTTTTTTGAAAAGATTTTTGACACAAAAATGATGCCATAAACACTCTACGGATTTGGTGCGCCAATGCATGTGTCAAAATCAGCACATTTGCCGCCGAGAGCCATTAATTATTTGTTACTTAATGGCTAACGCAACACATACGACATATGCCCGTGACATTCTATCGTTTCATTTGTAATCGTTTTTATATTTTCTATGTTGTATTAATTAGTATTTGTTCTTTCTCCTTTGTATACCGTTGACTTTGTTTAATTCTCAATAATCTATATATATTTTAACTTTATATGTGTTTTTTTTTTGGATGTGTCTCCGTTCCTGTTGCCAGGCTCAGAATTCTGTGAATCGGAATTAATAAATGAATAAATATATACACTGTATTGTGCACTAGCACTTCGACAGAACGTCTCATACAACGTCAACCTTAATATATTCCATCCCCCCTCCCCCCATCTTCTGACACAGTGCAGTCACCATGCCCAGGTGGAAGTACCTGCTAGTACTCTGTACGCTGTTGATGTCGTTTGTTTGCCTGTGGATATTTGCCTCCGTGAGACTACCCAGCGCGCTAAGAGCGAGGTAAGGTAATGTCATTAGCCAAGGGTTGATAGTCCACCCCTGGATGCTTGTATTAACTCGTGTTTGGATTGTAACTTTCAAACAATCAAAGTTGTATGTATATAAGTGTCCACATTTGTACATGTAGTTTATGTTCAATTCATTGGGCGATTTTATAGTACAAAATGTACACTGTAATTTAATATAACAACTTAATTGCAAATTCTGTAAAATTACAAGTACGAGTAACTTAATTAATTTATTATACAAAAAATAAATAAGAATTATCAAGTACTGCAAAGCCCTGATTTACACACATTTATACATCTTTCGAATTCAGAGAGGCACCATTTCAATATCCGAGACAGAATTTCAAGGAAAGCGTTACCCTAGCTCCTTATTCGAAACCTACAACAACACACAACATCATCAGCAGAAGCAGTGAATGGTTTCTGCATGATGACACCTACACAAAATCGGTAAGTACTCTGACCCTTAGCCGGCAGTATTACACAATCGGGCCTATTTCCAATAACTTTTTGGTCATACATCTGTATTAAAGTCGTAGTTGATATATATACTACCCGAAACGTCTTCCCGTTTCCAAAACCATATTTGTATTTTTTTTTTAATTTTATTTATTTAATTAAAGAAACAACACAAGGACAAAGTGGGGCTACGCTCAAGTTAAGCACTTATTTTAACAGCCCCACTTGACAATTAACAACAGATACAACCAATACAATTATATAAATAAGAATAAAAGTGAGAACAAAAGTGTCGCAAAAACTAAACGTAAGCAGAAGTACTAATAATCAACCAAAGGAATGACAGCTGGAAACGTTTATTACCTCTTATATAAGGTTGAGTAAATAACATAAATTTTTCGAGCACTTTCAGAAAGACTATCTATATGAATTAAATGACCATATCCAGTTGCTTGAGTAACTAGTTTTGGGCGTATCTTAGTACCTGGATTTCTAACCTTCACCGACGTATTCTACGATACGCTACAGAAATGCCCCAGTGCCCTCAGACGGAGTCCAGAAAACTTACCCCCTGAGCTAAAGTTTATCGCGGACATTCCCGTTCTGATGTGGAACGAACACATCAACCCAGAGGAGTACAACAGACTCAAACAGTTCGACAGGAGCTACGGTTGGAAAAGTGTCCCTTTCGAAGGTATCAAATTACATGACATTGAAGATTCTTAAAGACCATTCTCGGATTTGTTGGTTCTCGATTTTTTTCATAAAAAATATGAAACGACAGGGCGAAAAAATAAAATAAAAACAGGTCTAGGCATCCTATTATAGCTCCAAATGCTACAATAGGAGCCATAAAGTCAACACAAAAGGCTGGGTTGATATTTAAATAATGAATTTTGAACTTTTATATCAAACCTTAGCATTGGTAGATGGAATAACTGTAACAACTAGGAAGAAAGGACTTTCGTTAACTGTTGGGGGCAAAATATGAGCATATTTTAGTTAATTCACAACCAGAATCTTTTTTTTTTTTTGCAAATCAGAAAAAAGTCAAGAGGCTAATCCGAGAACCAACAAATGAAGATGGTGTGGCCTTATCATATATATTTTGCCCTATCGAAATAAGTGCACGTAAACAAACTAGTTATAGGGCGATGTTACTTTGCGCCCATAGTTAGGAATTTTGTATAGCGTTGCTTGAGTTTTGTGTATGTCTAAGTTGATGTTCTTCCACATACAAGTGTACAAATCAGTGCAATTCAGCTTGTACCTCATTCTGCAGTGATGATTTTCTTGATAAACTGCAACTGTAAACTGTATAAATCTTCGATTAAACCTTTCGAATATTCAGTCAGCATGGCTTCAAACAGTAACAAAAAAAACTTTTCAATTGTACAGATATCACGAACAGCTTGAGGCACTTCGACACCGCTGCTCACCGGTACCTGTTCCCTGATTGGTCGGCTGACCATGACGTCTGCATGACGTGTGCTGTGGTGGGGAACAGTGGGATTCTGAGAGGATCACAGATGGGGAAAGAGATCGACGGTCACAACTTCGTCTTCAGGTAAAAAGTTCTTATACTCAATAGCAAAGTTCTTTGATCACAACCATTTTATTATTTTTTCACGAGCCGACATTTCGATGACCCTCTGTCATCTTCATCAGGGCAATTCTGACTGGTTTACTGTGCACCAAGTAACACCTAGCGCCAGTGCACAGTAAACCATGACAGATGGTCATCGAAACGTCGGCTCGTAAGAAATAAATGATTGTGATCAAATTAAAGAACTTTGCTATTCATTCGTTTACCAACCTGATGAAATTATTTACGGAGTTCTTATACTATCATAAAAGTTTATCTGTGTTGGTAGTTACATGTTTAAAGTTAAAACTTTTGGTCCAAAACTCTAGGTGAGAGAACTTTATTTTGTGTTGGACCAAAAGTTGCACAACTCCTCTAGATAAGAGACTGTATTCCAGGCTGTTATCTCACTGATCGCTTTTAATTTTTAGAGTCAATGCCGCCATTACGAGGGGTTTCGAAGAGGATGTCGGGAATAGAACGTCGTTCTATTTCCACAACATCAACACCATGTTGAACGCCCAGAAGAATTATGGGAAATACGGTTTTATTCAACCACCGCAAAACAAGGTAGGAATGGTTTACCACTGTTAACATTTCTTTGATACACCTTTTCACATTTACTTTATATAACATTTTGTATTGTACTTGCGTTAAATATTAATAGCACTACTGTGTACTACAACAAATGTAGTACTGTGCACACATATTCATATATTTACTCAAATGAGTGAATTTGCTATCACCTATAATCAATGCCTAGACACTATATCTAAAACTAAACATTTCCATAATTGATTTATATTGCATTTAAATCTCTATTTTCATTATCATCACCATCATATGTTAGCCATTTGCTTATCCTAACAAAAATTAGTTTTTGTTTTTCCATTACAGTTTCTGTATATGAGACATCTCCGCTAGTAATACATGTACATATTTCGCAAAGTTGGGTCACCAAGAAAATAAATGAATTTGACTTTATCTCTTGAAAAGGACACCATCTATGTATCTGTTATTGCCGACGTAAGAGAGCATCGGTATTTCAACGCCGCCATAAGTTGGAAACCGGTAAAATCCGGAAGAGACAAGGGTAAAAAGTAAGTTACATTAAGAAGCGTCTATCGCAAATCTGGTGGAACTGTCACAGTTCTTGTGATTGGTTGAGCGGTAGCCACAAATAGACCTATCAGTGTGAGATATACCAATGTGCACCTCCTCGTATTTCAGTTGATTGTTTTTTTTCAACGCTGTATCCAGGCCTGGCTGTATCATAAGTCAACTCAGCTTATGACCTACGTTTCTCATTTTTTGAGGTTGTAGATACAAATGATTGATACATTTGTTTTATTGCATTGTTTGTCTATCATTCACGATTTACTTAATAATATTTAACACGAAATAACCTGACATTTTATATTCTATAACATGCCTGTATCCCTCGCCAGACCACCTACACAGTATGGAGAAAAACCTGACAAGACGAAGTTTAGAATGACGCATCCTGATTTCATGCGGTACCTAAAGCTCTGGTAGGTCACTGGTGCAAAAATGATAATCTTTCTAAATCTGGAATGTCGACTGGCTGCATCGTGTTTTTACTAGTGTTGTAAGCATGCACATTGAAAAGTTGTCAACACCTATTTGCACAAGTTTCCCAGTGAGGTATCAAACTAGAAACTTGAAATTATAATATATGACTTCATATATATATACCTGATGTTAAACCATGTCATAGCATGTCATACACAGAGAAATCCATAGAACATTCGCACCGACAATTGGAACCGAATTCTGGATATGGAACTGTTATAGAACAATCGAATGTACAATTCGAATCGAATTTTTGGTGTAAATGGGTGAAAGGGTGGTAACTTTGAAGATGGACAAAAAATTGCCTTTAGAAAAGAGAAATCTTATAAAGTCAGTCTTAACAATCTGCATTAGTCTGAAATATCGTGCTCTTGAATAGCAAAGTTCTTTGATCCTTTATTTATTTTTTTCACGAGCCGACGTTTCGATGACCGTCTGTCATCTTCATCAGGGCAATTCTGACTGGTTTACTGTGCACTGACGCTAGATGTTACTTGGTGCATGGTGCACAGTAAACCAAGCTAGAATTGCCTTGATGAAGATGACAGACAGTCATCGTCGAAACGTTGGCTCGTGAAAAATAAATGGTTGTGATCAAAGAACTTTGCTATTAAAGAGCACGGTATTTCAGACTAATGCAGATTGTTCAGACTTCATAAGATTTCTCTTTGCTATTCATTCGTTTACCAACCTGACGAAATTATTTACCGTGCTCTTGTTTTCCTTGTTCTGTTCCTACCATTCTCCTGGCCGGATGTAGCTGGTTTAATGCCACCCGGCGGAGAGGGGTCATGTTCCGGCCCACGACGGGCGCCGCCATGTTGCTGACGGCCCTCCATACCTGTGACGTCACGGACGCCTATGGCTTCATCACGGAGGACCATGGGCTGTACAACGACCACTACTACGAACCAGAAAAACACGCGGTCAAGTTTCCGCCCAACCATGATTATCAGTTAGAGATAGAGTTATGGGATAAGCTGGACAAAGCTGGCGTTTTACATCTGTATAGGGGAAAAGGGCATGCTAGTACGAAGTAAGTAAGTATATAACGCTAAATAATGAAATGAAATGAAATGAAATGAAAGACGAAAGACCTTTATTGTACGTTTGTATTTTAACAAGCTAAGTACAGGTCATGTGTAAACAGGGAAAAGGGAATACTGCAATAACACTTGAACTATACATACTAATGTGATCTACTATTTACATGTTCAACTTCTTCTCGCTTCTTGACGCAGTTATAGATATACGAGCATATAGAACTAATGATACATGGTTCGTCAAGTTTCATAAGAAATGTGAATTTTTCTGATTCATTTAAATGTCCAAAGCTGGGGAACTTATCTATTATATAAGAATACAGGGAATCTCTCTCATTACTATATAACGTACAATCGACTACGAAATGATAACTCATCCTCAATCTTATCTAAATCACAAAATTGGCAAATCCTTTAATGTTTTGTTTTGTTTTTGTGTCCTTGCTATGCATTGTTATACAACCGACAAAGAGTGGTCCCAGACACACAGCATTACGTCGGTCCACCCTGGCTACCGTGTTTTCCCGCCAAAACAAACGGCTAATGTGGCCAATTTAAGTCAGGTGATCCTTGAAAAGCAAACAGTGGTCCGCATCGGGTGTCACGGTTCGAATGGACTCGTGGGGTCATGTGGCGTAGGGGCAGAGTGCTCGACTCGGAATCAACAGGTCCCAGGTTCGAGTGCTGACATGCCAACGATCTTGTGCCCTTGGGAGAGGCACTTAACACGACTTTCCTCACTTGAATGAATGAACGAATGAACTGGTTTATTTATGATATACAACACACATACCATTGCAGCCTTACATGGCTTACAGTATAAGTGTTTTGGAATAGGGTTGTATTTAGAGAAACATTCACTGTGTAACATACACGCAAACGCTCACACACTAGTACCCCCCCACACACACACACACACATGCATACATCACACAAAGACGTGCATACACACAACTAAACATCATCACACGACTTCATAAATTGACAAATAAAATAACATATCACAATACAGAAAGTTTGTTTATTCCATGCGTTAGAAACGTCTCGTATTAGATCTTGCGGGGTACAGTTCATACATACGTCATCCAAGATTTGGCCAAGATACAACTGTCTAACGTTACATTCATAAAACCGTTAGATTTGACTTAAAGATCGCAGAAAAGCAACAATGATAGCAGACAAACAATAATGCCGTAGCAGACAAACAATAAAGTTGACAACAATAGCAGTTTGACTGCTATATTATCAATCGACGGAAATACAGACAGAATAGATAAATACTAGAAAGGCCAATATTTGCTTTGGAGCAAATACAGCGATGGGTTCACCACATTTTACGACATGGCAGGGAAAGAATGAGAAACACAAGGGAAAACAATGATTGACATTGATATAACTATAATATGAAGTAACATACAACTAAAACAACCGTTGGATAGCTATTCCCTACTTTATTGGTTAGGATTTTTAATTGCATAATGCAAACTGTTGATTTTCAAAATAAAAAAAACGTTCATGCCCCGCATTTCAATGCTGGAGCAGAAAAGCTTGAAATACCTACCAAAACACTTGAATAAAGACATACTGTCAGTATGGAAATGCTCTGTGCAGGTGTTAATCAAGTTAAATCCCAACAGCCAATCAGCAAGAAATGCTCTGTGCAGGTGGAAATGCTCTGTGAAGGTGTTAATCAAGTTAAATCCCAACAGCCAATCAGCAAGAAGTATAGAGGAAAGCTGCATGCCTATTGGTTGATGCCCTGCATTCCATTGTGATGACTCATGCCCAGACGTGGTAAACACGGCACACTAACACAGTAATACATTTGCTATAACACAGCCAAAAAACTCAAATAAAACCATTCTAAAAGCCTGTATCACAAAAATTTTAAAAAACGCCTAGGGGTATTTGCCCACTGTACCTCCATACCAAATTTCAGGACCTTAGGCCCTAAAATGAAGAAGCTGAATCCATTTAAAAAATGGCAGGAGGAGAAGGAGAAGGAGAAGAAGAAACATCAGAAAAAGCAATATGGGTTCACCACCACTTCGTGGTGTGGTGAACCCATAAAAATGTACAAGTTCGAAAAGTTGGTCATGGTTTAAAGTCCTTTGTAAGCTATAAGACCATACTGAATCAAGTAGCCCTGTCATATCCGAACAGATAGAGAAATAATCCGGCATATCGAGGGCAAGATTTGACAAAAAAGAGAGTATATATAACGGTTTATGGTCTTATTCCATGTTAAACTTGAATCATGTGTAGGTACGATAGAACATAACTAGTATAGAGACATTCTGTACCATACCCATAGCTAAATCATTCCGAAACGTTTAATTAACGAAACACAGCAAATCAATCATTGTTTGCATCTTTAACTGCAAAATAGACAAGGAGAAGTCGTAGACATCATCCCTCCATGAAATAGCTTGTTATTTTGTAATCTTTTGGTGTATTTCAATAGAGATATTTAATTATGAGTCAAACTTTGTTTTTATCAGCAGAATGATTTGTGGTGGCACTTTGTATTGGAAGGGGTTGCCTATATTTATCAAGCTGTCATGTGCAGGCGTTTAGTGTCTTGTTACCATGGTTTGTTTACTTTGATGGCCTGCAGGTCATTTGCCTGTGCATCTAGGTCAATGACCAGACAGGCAAATGACCTGCAGACCAGACAAGATTTATTACCTCAGTCCTGACATCAACAGCCTCACTAGAGAGCACACTTTAGCCATGAGAAAGGAATTTCAATGATACACAAAATTTCACCTTCAAATTACCCACCATCTGCAGACACAAATTTGAACAACTGACTAAACATGTACATCACAGACGCTACTTTGGATCAATAAACTATCATTAACAGCACTAACAGACAACCCTATAATACAGCCAACCAACCAACCATAGCGAAGAGGTGAGGTCAATGACCTCTCAAGCACACATAAACAAACCACCCCATTCAACCAGACTATATTTCCTGCAGACTCTGTCTAGGGGATCTAGGTGCCTGGGCCTGACCTGCCAGCTGGAGGTATAAACAGAAACACTCTGTCCCAACTTTGGGGTCAAACAGACCATCCTATTATGAAATAGGGGTAAAAATGTGAAAATCCTTTTAAATTAAGCAATAAAAATATACGACAACCTGCTAATGCACTCTAAGACGCAAAGAGACTCAACAACTACCCACATACCAAATATTATACCAAACCATCCACCAGATTTTCCAAACATTCAACACAAAATGACCAACTTTAAACATATTTTAAATATCAAACGCAAACAGCTAGGAAGCCCAAATTTAAACCACTAAACCATGGTAATAACAACTACATGCTACCCTAATATCGCACAAACAGTCCATAACGCGCAAACAACAGAATAAAAAAATTAAACTGCAGTACCAAGGTCAATCACCAGGGGCTCAAAGTCAACCTACACAATCTCCAAGGCCCCATCCATCAATCTGCCAAATATCGTACAGTTCCTTCTCACCGATCTTCATATATCAGACCAAAACATGAAACGGACCAAAAACAATACCCCCCATTACATGGAGGGTAATAAAACCAGCCAACCAACCATAGTGAAGAGGTGAGGTGAATGACCTCTCAAGCACCCCATTCAACCGGACTATATTTCCTGCAGACTCTGTCTAGGGGTAAAAATAGATTGGGCTGTCTCAGCCTGACCTGCCAGCTGGAGGTATATAAACAAAAACACTCCAGATCTGTCCCAACTTTTGGGTCAAACAGACCATCCTATTATGAAGTAGGGGTGAAAAAAATGAAAATCCTTTTAAATTAAGCAATAAAAATATACGACAACCTGCTAATGCACTCTAAAACGCAAAGAGACTCAACAACTACCCACATACCAAATATTATACCAAACGACCCACCAGATTTTCCAAACATTCAACACAAAAGACCAACTTTAAACGTATTGTAAATATCAAACGCAAACAGCTAGGAAGCCCAAATTTAAACCACAAAACCATGGTAATAACAACTACATGCTACCTTAATATCGCACAAACAGTCCATAACGCGCAAACAACAGAATAAAAAAATTAAACTGCAGTACCAAGGTCAATCACCAGGGGCTCAAAGTCAACCTACACAATCTCCAAGGCCCCATCCATCAATCTGCCAAATATCGTACAGTTCCTTCTCACCGATCTTCAGATATCAGACCAAACATGAAACGGAGTAAAATCAATACCCCCATTTTCATGGAGGGTAATTACATGTAAGGTAGTAGTAGTCGTTTCACGTCAATTAGGATATAACACAATTCGATGCGGTTAGTAGCGTCCATTACTTAGTATCAAGGTCGATGTATTTTCCATTTCCAGTGCCAAGTCAACAGAACAAAGAAACAAAATCAAATCAACTTTATTTCTCAACAACTGTAGCTAGTACAATGTATGGCAAAGAAACAACAATGGTATATACACAAACTAATACTAAACTAGAAAGGCCAATATTTGCTTTGGAGCAAATACAGCGATGGGTTCACCACATTTTACCACATGGCAGGGAAAGAATGAGAAACACAAGGGAAAACAATGATTTACATTGATATAACTATAATATGAAGTAACATACAACTAAAACAACAGTTGGATAGCTATTCCCTACTTTATTGGTTAGGATTTTTAATTGCATAATGCAAACTGTTGATTTTCAAAATAAAAAAAAACGTTCATGCCCCGCATTCCAATGCTGGAGCAGAAAAGCTTGAAATACCTACCAAAACACTTGAATAAAGACATACTGTCAGTATGGAAATGCTCTGTGCAGGTGTTAATCAAGTTAAATCCCAACAGCCAATCAGCAAGAAATGCTCTGTGCAAATCGGGAATTACAGCAATCAATTTACTGAGTATGTTTGCTTAGTTTCCAGATGTTTTGTACTTGTAGTTTTTAAATGAACGAAAACCGATGCGCGCACAGATGTTACTTTTGTGACAACATCAAAGTGATTTTGGTTGTATGTTG